CTATTAAAACTCAAATCTCAAGCATTACTCTTCAAATTACTATGTGTAATTTAAAAAGGGATCACTCGTAGTGATGAACCCACAGAGAATTATCACCAACCAACTCTTCCCCTCAGCTCTACAGAGTGCCACAACATCTTACATTTACATTTACTTATTTGGTAGACGCTTTTATCCAAAACATACAAGCATCAAGTAAGATCTACAAGCAACCTTAGATACTAATAAGAGCAATAAGAGTTAGCAAATAGTGCACACAAGACAAGTGAATTGTAAGGAGATGGAAGAAGAAGGAGAAGAAGAAGAAAAGCACAGGAAGTGCATGTTGGAGGTAATGGGTTAGAGAGGGATGCCCCTGCTCTGATGGCATGTGGTAGCTCCTTCCGCCATCTTTCAGCTCGTTCTTTTGGCTTTCTGGCCTGCAACTTACTTCTGCTGCTTTGTTTTCCTTACCGCTCTTGTCAGCAATGTTTTCAGCAGGCAGGCCGCTGTTGTCAGCAAAAGCGCTCTAAAAACCCACTATGCACTGCCGAACACCAAACGGCACTCAGTTGGTGGAGTCCCATACAGAGCTACGAAGAAAGTGAGTACATTTTGGACTTAGATTCGTCAGGTGGAGGTGAAGGTTTTGTTAACACATATGAAGTTTGCGATATTAAGTTTATAAGTTGGCAGTATAAAAATCTTGTGTTTACAGATTGTTGTGCTGTCCCCAAGTGACCAAAAAATTTATTAATGAAGGTTTATGTAATATGAGTAAAATTTTAGTACACACTTCCTGTTAGGAACTAGAGTAAAACTTTTAATGTAACGATCACTGCTAATTGAGGTTAAAAAAGAGTCAAAGAGAAGCTATGGCTCCATATCAAGACTGGTAACATGCCGGTGTCATCAATAAGAGGCAACCAAGCAATTTACAGCTGCAAAAATTTGTAAATTAATTGATTAGTTGAAAATTAAACAATTGTTTATTTTTTTTATTTTGATCAATCATTTTCTAGCAAAAATGCCAAACATTCACTGCTTGTCATTTTCTCTAAATATGGTAGTAAATTGAATACCTTTGGTTACATATGAATTCTTCTCAATAACAAAAAGCCAAACAGCTGAACAAATTGGATCTCATTATGTGTATGTGTGTGTGTGTGTGTGTGTGTGTGTGTGTGTGTGTGTGTGTGTGTGTTGGATGTTTTCAAACTTTTTGATAGAAATAGTGATAAGAGTATTGTAATTGCTTTTTGGTGGTGATCTTCCCAGCATATACCAGAGAGCAGGGAGCAGCTGGAAATTCAAATGAATCTGTGTGTTTGTTGCCTTTGGCAGGAGCTCAGCATAGGAGGAAAATAATATCCAAGTGAATGAGATGCCTCAAAAATTGGAGGCTGGGTGACAAATGACTCTTCTCATGAGGAGCTAAGCAGCAACATGGCTTTGGCGAGGATTTCTGTGTGTCAATCTTTCATCCCCTCCCTTTTACATATCTTCATACTAAATTATGTCCACCTGTTTATGCAGATGGTTGTTGCCTTGTATTTCTTTCCTTCTTGCAAAATTCCATCTTCATTTTCGCCACTTATCACATCAAATTTAAAAATTCTCATTCTCTCTCTCATTCGAAACCACTCACCATTGGTATTTAAAGAAATATAATCACCTTTTACGACTGCATTTCAAGGTATTATGGCTATGTAAAATAGAACAGAATTTAAAGGTGCATAGAAAGTAAATTTAGATAGTTGGTTAATCGATTAATCATTCAACAGACTTGTTCGCGTGTTGCAGAATTTTGTTCGGGATGTTTCTGACCAAAATGCACTTTATTTTTTTTAAGTACACACCTTTCTATCCAACAATGAGAAATGCTTCCATTAATCAAGTAATTGTTTTGTTAATCAACAATTGTCAATGAATTCTTTGAGTCACTTTCCAAGAAAAGAAAAAATGCAAACATTTGATTGGCTTCAGGTTTTACATTGTGAATCTGACACCCTGCCTTGTCTGAATTTATAGCAAATTGAATTGAATCTCTTTCAGTGTTGGACTGTTGCTCAGACAAAACATTTTCTGATGTTGTTATTCATCTTTTGTCCTGCGCACAATTGGGAGTATTTCACGAAGGGCTGCAATTGATTCTTTTCTTTATTGATTAATCTGATGATTATTTTCTCCATTATTTGATTTATCTATTAAGCTGTCAGAAAATAATATAAAAAACATTCAATTTTAACCTCAGTTCAATACTGGATTATCATTGATGAAAAATATCATTTTGAAGGTCAAAGTTCAGCTAGAGGAATCTCTGGGGGAATGGAAAGAGGGGAGACATCTTTACAACATACAGTCATTAAACAGTAATTTTTCACGCTGATGTGACTGTACTTCCACAGGTCTCTACACAATAAATTCAATCCTGTCTCATTCAGCCAGTACTCCCCCACAGATCCCCCAAGCTGACATACATGTAGACACTAGAGATACTGCATCAGTTGGTTGACATTTTAGTCTGATGGATTTAGTGGATGTGTACAACTAACGAATTATTTTTTTAAATCTCCATTATTGCATGAAGACACATCCCAGGAGCAATTCAATTAAAATGAGTTTATTTCACCAGGATAATTCACATTCACTTAGTAACAATGACCCTTTACAAGGCTTCCTGGGTACAGTGCTGGATGCTGGGGAGCAGCTGGACGTAATTCACGTGACACAGTATGAACCGTATCACTGTATAATAAAAAGGGCTGATGTCAACAGAAGGAATATAGTGGTAATGCTTCTCAATAGAAGCAATAATGCTTCAGAAAATAACAAACTTATGTAATATGGTTACTGATGGTGTGAGGAAGAAAATAAATAAATGTGGCTCACTATTACATCTTTGTGCTTCCTACTCATAGTAACTGAAAAAAAATATTAAAATGCTGAAATTATAAAACCCTTCTAGCTGTCTGTGATGAAGTCTTGATTGTCTTATAGCTGGCATATTTGATAATTTTGAAATTATTACCCCATCCACACACATATATTCTCGTCCAAATCACTCTGCAATAAAAATGATCCCCAGATTCCCAGAATATTATAATTGCACTGCTTTTGCTTTATTTTTCTCTGCTGATAAGGAGGCAACCTGCAATGGTTTTGCCATCTTCTGATAAGCCTTAAGGAAAAAAAGTGAAGGAGAGGAAAGCAGGAGGAGAGATGGGAAAAGGAGAAATATTGAAAGAAAGATGAAAAAACAAGAAAAGGTGAAAATTGTGGCAGAGCAAAACAGTTTGAGAAAAATTGGAGCGATAAGGAAAGGAGAGTTGGTTGAATTGATGGGGGGAAAAAGAAATGGGAAGGTAAAATGGGAGAGAACTGGAGGAAGTAATGAGGTAGGAAAGCGAACCGGGGTAAGGATGGGAAACTGAAGAATACTTAGGTCAGCAGAACGGACCATATAAGTGGATGGGGGTTTTAGAAAGCAGGCTTAATAGCATTTTATAATGCATTATTTGTATGTTAATAGCATTTTTTTGCCTGTCTGACAACTTTCCTCTGTCTATATTCAAGAGAATATAAAAGTGGGACTATTAAACATGCTGATTAAAACAAATAGGTTTGACTCCTTTCCATAGCTTTATCATTTACCATTCATTTACAGTGGTATCCTTTCCCCCATCGATTATACCTTAGCCTTAAACATCTGCATTTCTTCTGCATTTTAAGACAATGCAGAAGAAATATTTCTCATATTTATACAGAGGCTATTTTGTATTGTGCTTCATCCAGCGTGTCATTGAAGCTGTATTAGTGAGTCTATATTCCATTCAAGGTGCAGGTTTCTCAGGCTACACCATTTGCCTACATCAAATAAAAGTCATATTTATACAGTATGTTGTTCTACATATTCCTAATTTGGACTCTCTGGAAAATATAATGTCTATTATCCAAAACTACCAATAAATTATTTTTAGCTAAACTAATTAGCAGTAATGTCCGTCAGTCCACCACTTTACTCCAGAGTTAGATAAATAATTTGATATCTTGACTGATGGATACATTTAGCTTAATTCTGTACAGGCATTCATGTTTCAGAGGATAATGCAATTGATGAAATAATCCCTTTACTTTTAACAGTACTCTAATAACACTAACAACAATTAAAATGTCTAGCCTTAGCTGGCTAGCTTACCAGCTGCTGTACATCCAGCAATCACTTGGTTCAGACTCCAAATAGTGTGCAAATCAAGCGGGTGAAGTGAGGACGGGAGTGTAACTGTTAAGCCATGGATGGTCATTTAACAGCTCAAATCCAGTGCCTTTTCAGGGTGCTCGTTACAGCATATTATGTTAGTTTTCTGTTCTTCTAGGAACAGAAGTCGGGACTGAGACTTTGGAAGGCATCTTTCATGGAACTAATTTATCTATTACCTGTCCTCCTGTCAAGTATTTACTAAATTAGTGTGATTGGGGAATGTTTCAATGTTGTGTTTGATTAATGCTTCATTTTTTTAAAGGTACATTTTCCAATGCTCTTGTTAACTATTGGATCTGGCATGAACAACCATCTGTTGTTCAGCCTACTCAATATGACAACAGTCTCAATTAAAAGCCTGTTGAACCTTGCCAGACCAAAAAAAACTAAACTGCTGTGCTGTGGAAGTCTTCTAGCATGCGACTTACAAACTGCCTTAGTTGGGCCAGGAGCTGTTTGTAATGTGTTTATTTCAAAACATATTTGTGAGTTTGCAGATTCTTTATTCAGAAAAGGGGCCTTACAGGTGCATGCCATTTGTTAGACTGGACACTGGACAGGGCCATAACCATGTGGCTTAGTGAGCTAATAAGGAGGTGACAGTGATCCATAGTGCCTCAAGAAATAAGGTCAGACCACAGGTGAGGAGAGAAGCAGCTGGAGCTTTGAATTAAATGTATGTGTGCTGATGAAATTAAATTGCATGAGAAACATTAACTTTGTGTAACCGGCTTCTTCCTCTACCTCTCTTTTTCCCCAGCATGTAAGCCTGGCTTCTTCAAAGCATACGCTGGGAACACTAAATGCTCCAAGTGTCCTCCACATAGCTCCAGCCATGACCAGGCTGCCACCATCTGTCACTGCGACAAAGGCTTCTACAGGGATATCAAAGACTCCTCCACCATGGCTTGTACAAGTTAGTGGAGTAATTGAAAAGACCAAACTTTCTCTGTCAGCTTGGGCATTCTTAGTTTCTGTTTGCATGTCTGTAATTTATTTCAGTCTGTGCTGCCATCTTTCCCCCATCCATCTGCTCTTTTTTTAATTTTAGCAATATGATTGAGATAAATTTGAATATATGGCTTCACAACTTTATGCCTCTATATCTCAACTTTGAAGAAAAACAAAAAACATCTGTTGGAATTCGCCTCATTCGTAGACATGTAATATTCTGATGGTAGTATCCATGAAATTGACAAGTAACAACTCTTAGGGCACTCCTAAGCTCACCACCCACATGTCTCCACACAGCTATTCAAAGACACACTCTCAACTTCTGTTCTGATCACTTTGCCAAATCAGACACGGAGCTGTTTTCTAGTTCAGGAAATAAACACATAGGCTGTTGGAATAAAATACTGCAGAACACGTTGAAAGCCAACCACCCACACACCTGCCAAATGTACCACACTTGCTCACTTGCTGCTAAAGTTGCTGCTTAATTGTCAGATTTCGGTGATCATGTAACCACTTCAGCTTATTCCTCAGGTTCAGATGAGTGTATTCACCGTTATACTTAATACTGATACTTACATACTAACCTAAGACTAGTGGATCTTCCAAGAGTACAGTGTCTAAAATGGCACCAGTGATCGTAGATCAGGTGTTTTGTCCATGCTTGTATTCAATCAGACAATAGCCCGTCCCCCCTTTATGTGTTATACTATATTTGTACAACTGCATTTGTGAGATGTTCGTTTAAAAATACCTGACAAAGTGATCAGTGGGTTATCAATGAGTAATCTCTCTCCTCCGGCCTTTTCATTCTCTTCAGGGCCTCCTTCAGCTCCCAGGAACCTGGTCTCATTGATCAATGACACGGCTCTCTTCCTGCAGTGGATGCCTCCCAGTGATACAGGAGGCAGGAAGGACATCACTTACAACATCCTGTGCCAGCGCTGTGATGGAGGTGACGGTGACAGTGGTGTGACACAGTGTGAGCCATGTGAGCCCGACCTGCGGTTTATCCCACGGCCACTTGGTCTGACTGGTACCTCTGTGGCAATACTAGATTTTGCAATGCACGCCAACTACACCTTCCACGTAGAGGCCGTGAATGGTGTCTCTGGGCTGGGTGTGGCTGCACGCTCGCTGGCGAATGTTACCGTCAATACACACCAAGCTGGTGAGTTGCAGTGCTCCTGTTCGCGCCATTGTTATTTTCCAATTCTGTTTGTTTTACAGTCTTCAAATCCAACAAGTTGTCATTATGACACACAGGTGTAACTACTACACAATAATAGAATTGACTTATATTGGTATGGTGTCTTGACTTTAATAAGAGTTACAAGTGATTACTAATTTCATGAGTGCACATACTGGATTAATTGATTCATTCATCGACTGACAATTCATGGCAGACATTTTAGATAACTGATTATGCTCTTATCAAGCAAAAATGCAAAACATTTCCTGGTTCTAGATTCTCAAAAGTAAGGGTTTGCTGATTTTCAATGTTTTACATCTCTGCAATTAAATAATAAAACATAAATAGTAATATAATATATAAAAAGTATAAGTATACAAAAAATATAAAAAATACAATAATACAATAATACAATGCTGACAAGTATGTGCAAAAGTATGGGGTCAGGAGAGTGTATGTGTGTGTGAGTTTGGGGAGGGGGGCATGAGAGTCACTGACAGTGGGGACCCCGGCCTTGTTGAGGAAGCCCACTGCCATCGGAAAGAAACTGTTCTTGTGGCGAGAGGTTTTGGTCCTGATGTACCGCAGCCTCCTGCCAGAGGGGAGAGTCTGAAACAGTTTATGTCCAGGGTGGGATGGGTCAGCTGCAATGTTTCCTGCACGTGTCAGAGTCCTGGGGGGCGTACAGGTCCAGAAGAGAAGGAAGATCAATCACCTTCTCTGCTGCAGAGCGAATGATACGCTGCAGCCTGCCCTTGTCCCTGGCAGTGGCAGCAGCGTACCAGATGGTGATGGAGGAGGTGAGGATGGACTCAATGATGGCGGTGTAGAAGTGCACCATCATTGTCTCTGGCAGGCTGAACTTCTTCAGTTGCCGCAGGAAGTACATCCTCTGCTGGGCCTTCTTGGTGAGGGAGGTGATGTTCAGCTCCCACTTGAGGTCCTGGGAGATGATGGTGCCCAGGAAACGGAAGGAGTCCACAGTGGCAACGGGGGAGTCACACAGGATGATGGGGGAGGGTGGGGCGGGGCTCTTTCTGAAGTCGACGACCATCTCCACTGTCTTCAGAGCATTGAGCTCCAGACTGTTCTGGCTGCACCAGGTCACCAAATGGTCGATCTCCCACCTGTAGGCAGACTCATCCCCACCAGAGATGAGCCCAATGAGGGTGGTGTCATCCGCAAACTTCAGGAGCTTGACAGACTGGTGACTGGAGGTGCAGCTGTCGGTGTACTGGGAGAAGAGCAGAGGGGAAGAACGCAGCCCTGAGGGGAACCTGTGCTGAGGGTCCTGGAGTCAGAGAGATGTTTTCCTAGCTTAACGTGCTGCTTCCTGTCCATCAGAAAGTCAGTGATCCGCCTGCAGGTGGAGTTAGGCACGTTCAGCTGAGAGAGCTTGTGCTGAAGCAGGGCCGGGATGATGGTGTTGAAAGCAGAGCTGAAGTCCACAAACAGGATTCTGCCGTAGGTTCCTGGGGAGTCCAGGTGCTGGAGGATGTAGTGAAGGGTTTGGGCTTTGGACTACTATTCAGGCAAAAATTCAAATTCGAAAGGCTTCTCATTGGGCTCCAGGGTCTTAGTTTGAGCGTTATTTTCTGTTTTACTAATGACTTAAAATATTTGAAAGATTAATTAGAAAAACAGTTGGTTAAATGCAGCCATAAATTTCAAAGAAACATAAATCAAGTTTTTACCAAACATTTTACAGGGCTGAAATAGTACATGTTAAGCTACTAAATATTGCGGCACACATCATTCTGAAAATGTCTCCAGTGGACTATTCACCTTTGGGATGGCAGGTGGCCAAGCAAAATCAATAAAAAAAAGTATTTACAAACTTGCAAACTGGCAGTTCATCTTGCTGCTGCCAACAAATACCGCTGCATCTAACTACCTAACTCAAATGCATAACATAGCGGTATTTACTGCATTTTACAGCATTAACACGGTGTTCACCAACAATTAAAAATGGAAACAAAAGATTATGTGAAAAATACGCTGCATTTCTTGTAGTGCTCTGTTCCTGCATCTACATTTTACCTCTTTGGGAGTTGGTTGGAAGATCTTACTGGATGTGAGGGACATCTGCAGTTTATGTATGCCGTTTGTTCTGTATTTGCTAGACAGATTGCTGAGGGTTAACATTCAATTAGCCATATTTAGCTGTAAATAATAATAATAATTATACAAATTAAATTTAAATTCTTATGCTTGACATATGCATATTCCGTAGTTTCATAATACCTGATTCATAGCTCATGAATATTGTGTTTGGCAGCAGATGAAGAAATTTATATTACAGTAACAGGAAGGTATTTATTTATTCTGCAGCTAGATTTGCCTTTCTCCTTCCTGTCTTCTTTCGCAGACTCTTTCTTTCCATCCAGCTTAATGTATCAATAGGTGAAGCACATTTCTGACCCTTGAAGATCTAGAATCACTGTGATCTGAACCTAGTCCTAATTAGTAGAACCCAGCTGACCTGAGGTCAACAACAGCTAGCAGTCCTTAGTGCAGCATTGTCTTGGGCATGAATTAGGAAAAATAGGAGACCTGAACTGAAACCTGAACCTTATATTTTAGGGGCAAGAATTGATGGAATAATTGATGGAGAAGGTTGAGATGAAGGAAGAAAGGAGAGTAGATTAATAAATTATATTGGGATGTAGGTGCACATTTTCTTCCCTTTTCAGCATGCGCCGCAAGCCAGTATTAAAATGAAATTCTGATTTGAACAAGACAGACGTTCATCAGTCATCTGTGGCTCAGATATAAAAAGAGGGAATTAGGAAGTGGGTATATCTGTGCTAAATCATCAACACTATGTGTACAACAATAGGCTGCCATAGTTGTACTAGCATGGGGAAGCAACAGGTGATACTTTTGGTATAATGTTTTCCACTTCTTCAGACATACGCTATAATGGCTGAAAGCTTGTTCTACAATTACACCCAATATGTAGGCTTACAGATTTGTCCAATTACTGGTACGATAGATGGCTGGAACAAAGACTGCTAAAGACATCTGGTCTGGTTGTCTTGACAATAATAACATGCCGGTGTTTAGCAAGTATACCATGTTCACTATCTTAGTTTAAATTGTCGGAATGCTAACTTTTGCCAATTAGCCTAAACACAAAGTGTTGTGTTTGTGTAGGACTCAGTAACCACACCATGTAGCTTCGTTCGTGTTGCGTTTTACTCCACTGCCGCCAACCTTACATTTTCACCTTTTGCCGTAAATCACTGCTGTAAGCCTTAAAGGCACAGTAACCTGTCACTCGCAGTGCAAAACATAACAGAGTCCAACAGGACACAATACTGAATGTTTTCAGACATAACACAAAGTACAGGTGAGTATGATGGGAATGGTATTAGTTTTCAATCATTTAGAAGTAAATACAAGTATTGGACAAAATAAATGTTTGACCTGAAGATGGCGCTGGATAAAAAGTCAGGGGATCACCAAAGTCAGTAGGATTCATATTCTGAGGTCTGTACATTGTACTGGACCAAGGTGGTAGACCAGCCAATCGTCCAGAAAAACGAATGAAATTACTTTTTAAAAAGACATTATTAGCCTGTTTAACTCATTCAAATTTTGAATAACTGTGCCGATGTGTACAGTACAAAGGTGGAAGGTAGCATTCAGCAGCTTGCTGTGTTAAGATCAGCAAAATGCTAGATGAGAATAGGGCAACACTAATGAAGGAGTGCAGGGGATAAAAATGTCATTTCACATTTGTTGTCAAGTATTCAGACTGTGCAAATGCACCAATAGTGTTCATGGAGGGTAGACTTTGAAGTGTAGATTTATAAATATTACCATTTTCTTATTTATTTTTATCATTTTCTAACAACCCTTCTGCATTTATTGGCTCTCTGTAGTTAGTGGACCGGTAGTTGTGTAGCACGTTATTGGTAAGTAAGGGTGAAAAAAGTGTTCTCAATATCATAGCCGTCATAATGGTCTTGAATCATGCTCCTTGTTCAAGACAAATTAATCATTAGAAATTAGTCATTTCTTGTGGCTAATTCACACCTGGTATACAGTGCACAATATTATAACAATGTATTATTTTTAGAAATGCAATATTTTCCTTATAGGCTGTCACCATACCCTGGAAACCAGATGTCAAGTGCACATGTGTCACTTCATACCCATCTTGCAGGCAAAGGCAGCTAGACTGATGGGAGGAAGTTGGAATGCAAAATAATCTCTGTAGAGGAGGAGAAGCAGCCTGTGGGGATGTTCCCATTAGGATGTTTAGAGTGGATTAACTTGTCAAAATGCCTTTCCTCAGTAGGCATACTGTATGCACACACAGCCAGACACGCATGCAAAACAAGCAGGCAAACAAATTTATACACATATGACATTTGCACACACATTTGCTTAATGCATGCACCACCTACAGCCTTGCATATGGTCTGTCATTTCCCTGCTCTTCCCTGTACTCTCTCTTGTTTTTCTCTCTCCCAACACACACAAACATACATGTTTTTTTCTCTTGCTGCTTTTATACTTGAAATGCCCATTTTCTTTGACAATACATAGATATAGTTACACATGTAGATATATATCCATTAGAGACAGTATAATAACCCTTACCTTCATTTTGTGCTTTGATACAGCATAGATCGATCTGGATCCCTTGTACACAGTTATATAACTGTCTTCCACAATTTATGTGGGGGAAAAAGGACAAGTATAAATAGTATGTTTGCACATTGTACACCATTCATACTGTTTTGAGTGCAGGTTTCCATGTCTCATAATCTGCACTTAATTGGACTGAAATGTGAGCCCACAGGTAATTTACTTAAATGACTCCCACAAATGTAAATGAACAAGTTACTGTACATAGAGGAAAATCTGCCTGCTTTCATAGAGTCTAGAAGATGCTGTCTAATAACAGGTCAGTTAAACTCTAGTTAAACTCTAGTTAAACTCTTCAAAGCACCATATGTCTGCTGTAA